TATATATATATATATATATATATATATATGGATTTATTGTATCTATATATGTACTTGTGATGTCGTCTCTGGCCTGTTGTCTTCATGCGTAGCACATGTCTCGTGTACGGTCACTACACCGGTGTATGACCTTGTGCACATATATGAAAATTGCAGGTGCATTTTTCACCCATTTTGTTAGGATCTAGTCTCATAATTATGCGCCTGCTGAAGAGACAAGGACCACATGGGGCAATAGTAAACCCTAAACCTTAAACCTTGAATCCTAAAGTCTAAAATCCTAAAACCGCACGCGCAATAAAACAGTTCGTACATGTGGCATATGCTTCGATATTGACCTTTCGATAGTTGTACAACATTATATGCGCCGTGATTGGTACCTTGAACGTGTGTGCGTGTGTGTCTTAGTTCATCTGTCGCGTTGAGATAGATAGCAGTCAATCGATATCTTGTATCCGCTACTCTGTTGATGGCGTGCGGGCTGTGTTCTGTCACGAGACGTGTGTAGGTATTATTTTATTTCATTTTAACGTATCTCGCAAACGTCCTGGCATAGATATGGGCCCAATGGCCCATCCGAGCATCTCGGTTTCGTAAATCACCACCAAACCCCTCTGCAAACTGCTCACGGGTGTGTTTACACACAATGTCTGCCCCGCAGGCTCAAAGATGACGTCAGACAATGTGACGTCAGTGGGGATAATGTCAGACTCGGAGCTGTGGCAAACCTCTGGCTCGGGAACAAGCGCGTGTGACGCACGTGTACACTTCCGCGCGCACGAGTACGTTGCCATGGATACCGGAGTGGCCGCAAACGACGGGATGACGGAGAACAAACAGAGTGACCAGGACGGGGTGAGTGTTTCAATTGGACTATTCCGGTATCTCATGTGAGTGTGTTCGTTATTATTTATATACACCGCTGTTCTGCCGTGCCATGTGTATGCGCGGGTAGTTGCATGCGGACGTGGGTAGTTATCTACGCAGTCGGAAGTACTTGCTAGGCCGCACTCGTGATTTCATATCAGCTGTCCCTGCGACACTGGCGTGAGAACGACGCAAAACAGTATTAGCCTGTTCAAATGACAACGATTGCCGGTGGTTTGTGTCTCTTCCATCATCATAATTATATGATATATGCGAAACATGTATGTGTGTACATGTTTACAGAGATGCGTATAGAACCTCTCACATAGATACACACACACATCTATATATATATATATATATATATATATATATATATATATATGTATATATATATGTATGTATATATATATGTATATATATATATATATATATATATGTATGTATATATATATATATATATATGTATATGTATATATTTATATGTATATATTATATATATATATATATACCACATACGATCTAAACACGGTCATTATCCCTTCGCCAGCAGAAAGACACAGAGAACCCAGACGAGCGCATGGTCAAACGCGACCCCGTGCGTGGCTATGTTTTGCATATGCAGTTGCTACCCCGATTGCGGTATCTGTTAGAGGTAGCGGCGGTGCCTGGACTGGTAGAGCCCATCCTAGATATACTGCTGGCAGTAGGTAGTCACACCCCGGTCATGGCTCGGCAGATTGTGCAGTGCTCACGGCTGGTGGAGTACATTCACGGAGAGTTCGTTAGGGTATGTGTCCTATGCATGTCCCTGTAGCGTATATAAGCCTATATATATATATATGTCTGTGTTTTTGGCTGTGGCTGTGGCTGTGGCTATGTCTGTGTCTGTGCCTGTGTGTTTGTTGTCTGGTCGACTCTGTGTTGGTCAAACCCGGACCCTCGTATGATGACGAATACGAGTGTACGTACCTGATGGAGCACCTCCCTTGCATCAATATGCAACCAGAGGATGCATGTGTGTATTCTTCATCAATTATACGTGTCTGTATCCGTGCGTTGTGTGTCTGTGTATAGATCTATTGGTTATATATATATATGTATATAGATAAAGATATGTATATGTATATATATATATATATATATATGTATGTATGTGTGTATGTATGTATGTATTTATATATATATGGGCCTTTCCTCTAGGACTTCAGGGTTCCCTAAACCCCGGCCGTACCTTTGCACCGCGCCATCACGCGCCGAATCATTTGACATGGCCCATACCGCGATAGAGCACAACTACTGTCAAGATTAAACGGGAATTGTGTCTAACCCCTAAAACCCTAAAACGAACCGTAATTCGGTGAGAACGTCAACGTACGCTCACAAGCGGTATACGGGGGTGGCTATGTGTGTGCTATGTGTGTGGTGTGGCAATTCAGTGCGCTGATTACTAAAACATACGTCAGTAGACATACGCACACATTCACTCTCTAGCTCATTCATCACAACCGTTCGTGCATGCATACATACGCACACTTACGTATATCGTACATAAATTCATTCATTCATACATATAAACATACATGTATGTGTGTATAGAATATATACCCACTCTCGCACCCCGGCCCATACACTCACATACTTATACACTTGCACACAGGTGGACAGACCCGCAGACACCGGAAGCAAACGACTTCCCTACGGCACGCCGCACGTCAAGGCTTTGCGACTGATGACAGTATTGGCTGCCAGTAGCAGCGATGTGTGTGAGCACCTGCACCAAGAGGGCGTCTACAGCTCTATGTTGAGATACGCCATGTATCCATTTGGTGAACCAACCGATGAGGAGGACGAGCATGGTGTGTGATATCAACGTGTATATATATACACA